AGCATGCAATGTCGCTGTACCACAAGGGGCGTTCGCCTTCGATGATTGGGCGTAATTGCTCAGTCAAAGTGGAAGCGTACTTGCTGCCAGGTCCAGAGATCCTAGCGTACTCCTCCACTATCATGGCTGTCGACAATTGTGACGTTGACGCCGTATGCCTGAGACCCGCCAAGATGGTCTGCCACAGACTAGGAAGTTCATTCTTATCCCAGAGGAAGAGCAACTTGCCAAGTGCTCTGGCCGCGTAGATCTTCGATCTCAGCATTGTATCTGCGCCAACCAGATCAATATCTCCCTGGAGCATGTGCCCATCTACATTATGAGCTGAAGGCGGCGGCGCTTCTTTCTTTTCCGCTTTCCGCCCACGCTTCTTCGGTCCATCGGTAGCGGCATTGTTCGAACTGGGCGAGGATTTTGCGGGAGCCGCGGCGCTATTTGGGAAAGGCACCCCAGATGGCTTGATGAAGAGTGAGGCGTCCATAGGAAGAGGATATCTCGGGACACCGAATGGCGACATTGTGAGGGTGATGAGCGGTTCGATGTAGCTCAGGAGGTCGCCCTCAGCCTTGAACAACCCCCGAGATTCCAAAGAATTCAACAGTTCCGACCACACTTGAAGCGAAAGCTTAAGCACCCCTTCATTTCGTTCCACCAACAAGTTCTGAAAGATCAAGCGCAGTGCTTTTCCATTCACCCATTCGTTGGTACCTTCACCCTCCAGCTGCAGGAAGGTCATCAGGGCACGAAGGACTGCCGAGCGAACGCTGGTGATCGTATGGCGCAAGAACGGGTAGAGACGAGGCACAAGATTTCCAAACGACGAGTCTGGATCAACAGCCGCGTTCGCCTTCATGGCATCCAGGACCTCGCGGAAAGTACACAGCTTCGCCAAAAGATCCATGACTGAGCCGGTACTGGCACTTAGGTCATCCTGTAGATTTGAAAGACAGTCCCAAACAATGTTCATGAGGCTGCCTAGCGTGGACTGCCTGGACGCGACAAACTCCTCCGCCATGGGAACAAGCGTCGCCGCACTCACGGCACGAACATCGTCGTCATAGTCACCCAGCCCTTTCATTACCGCCTCTAATACACCATCCATCAAACTCCGATCCTTGATCAGAATGTCTTTCCGAACAGCCACCAGATACCTCAGCCCGATCATGCCACCGTGACACACCTCCCAAATGGGACGCTCTAAGCCCAGGTCATTCTGCATGACGATCCGGTAGAGGCACTTGTAAACAGCCACTACGGACCGAGAGGGGAGCTGTGACAGAAGGGCACCCAACGTCTGACCCACTGTTTCTCGGATGGGAGCCACGACATTGTCGGAGATGTAGTCACCGAAACGGTCGAGCATCAGGACACAGAGAAGACGACAAGCCAGATCATCCAGCCATTTACGGTTTAGCACATCATTCTCTGGCCTGCTTTTGCCTCGTAAGCGCCCAGCTCCAGCACCCTGAACACGGATGACCTCTCGAAGGGCCATCGCAGCCCCATGACGAACCTCCCAGTTAGGATCAAAAATGTCCATCGTGAGGATTTCGCACATAGGATCATACGGCCACGAATTGCTAGGCCCTTCATCTGGAGTTTCCGGCTGGATAAAGGGCTTTTCTGGGGCGGTTGATCCTTTGAACTCCGAGACGATCTTTTGGTCGTCGTCGCCTGACGATCTTTCCAGGGAGAAATAGTCTTGCTTCGAGTCGCCATTCTTCTCTTCGCCGTTTTCTGCCTTGATGGGGTGGGGGGTCGTAGCCGACGGGGTGGTGACATTATCCGAGGGCCTCCGCGTCGACAAATCCACGACACGGACCTTGTTAGCTCCCATTCTCGCGCTCTGCTTGTTTTTCCGCTTGAGCTGGTTCAATTGCCGCTTACTCAACCCAGCCTCTTCTCCGTTAGCACTTTCCATGGGAGATGCCAGCGGTGGCGCAGAGTTGTGGTGGTTCGTTTCTTTATGAGGGGCCTCATCCTTGATACCGGGTGTCTTCAAGACGAGATCATTGTCGTCGATCAAGTCTTCCTCGATATACTCCCCGGCCAGTCCTAGACGGGAGGTCAAAGTCTTCTTTTGATGCTGCAACCGGGAGACCGGATCCATCGCGGCTAGCGAATACTCATACTCCTTACCCGCACTACCCAGTAGCCGCTTGCCGTACTTGAGGATCGAAGCCAAGTCCAGGGTCTCGAGCTGGAGGAGGGAATCGCTGGGGGAAGAGGGTTGCTCTTCCTCCGACTTGATCTCTACCTCATCCTCGTCGAGCTTCTTGATCGTTTCACCATCTTCCTCATTGGGATCGAAGGTGTCGGCATTGGCCACGATCAAACCGATCGCCTTGGCGGCGGCTGTTCGGGTGTCCCATGACTTGGACTTGAGATAGGGCAAAATGCGCCCGAGCAGGTTGAACAGCTCATCAGGATGCTGTTTCTGAACATCTGCAAGCTGCTGGGCTGCTGTGTTCCGGATGAGAGGTGTGCTGCCCGTCTCGAGTAACCTATAGAGGAAATCATTGGTCAGTGCATTCATCCCGGCTGCGGGCTGCTGGCGTGGTAATACTCACGTGACGAGCCGGTCGAGTCTAGTGCGGCGCAGTTAGCGTCATGTACCAAACGGATGCGGAATGGGCGGGACGGCAGATGGAAACTTACCTGGAGGACATGGCTGGCTGGCTGTCACTCCTCGGAACTTTGAGGAACGAATTATTTCACAAATAAAATAGTTCAAAATCCGCAAGGGAAAGGGGTATCAGCAGAGAATAACATAAAACGAAAATGTATAACGTGGTGTTCGCAAATGATCCACAAGATTAGAAGACAAGTAATTCACCACACCCCCACGGCACCTCTCTAGAATTATTAGGTATGGTAAGGTATGGTAAAGAAGAGGGAGTAGTAAGGGAAGAGAGGAGAGGAGTGAGAGGAGAGTAAAGTGGGCGAAAGAGGTAAGGTATGTAAAATATACAAGACCGTTACACCCACGTCACAGCCATCGAGAAGCGTCGAAGCGTGACTAATTAAGCAGAGCTGGACAGTTTCTGAAGGGCGATCGGGAAACAGAAGTGGAGATCACGGCTTAGTAGAAGAAACGCGGGTATTGTATTGCTGATCGGGGGAAGGGCGGTTTGGACGTGACGCGGACCAGGGCGATATTACTTTTTAAGTATGGTCAAGTAATGAATCATAAAACAAGTCACGAAGGGAAAATTCCCGGATGGCAAAACGGGAAAGCGACAAATAAAAATCGCGAATGACCAGCAGATAAATGGAATCGGATCGACAGGGAGTGAAGGGGGGTGGTGCGTTGCTGGAATGAAGGTGATGGTGGTGGTGGTGGTGAACGGGAGCAAGCCTTGTTTGGCCTGCAAAGTAAATGCGCAGGAGTATCAACAAGTCGTCCTCCGGTCCTGCTTTGCCTCCCCTCGAGGTCACGCAGCCTGTTTATATCATTGGGGGCATCTTTGGCTGGGCGCGCCTACCCATACTTGGGCCCTGCGCGCTAGCCTGCCTCGGGGTTAGCGCCCCCCACTCCCGTAAAGGTTTTCTACCAGTCACGTGATTCCTCCCTGCGCCAAACCGCCGCTTGGATCGACAGGCGCGAAATTGCTGCGCTGCGATTTCTTCCCATCTGGAGTCCGTCCCCCCCAGCTGTCTTGTCTGTTCTGCCCATGAGGCTGACCGGCCGGTTTGATCCACGGAATTTTGCGCCGCCCGGGATACCCTGGCGGCTGAACTCGCCAGCTTTAACCCTCCTGTCCTCTCAGCTTCTTCCCATTATTTTCTTACTCCGATTGATGAGTAGCACGCAGCACACAGCACAGCTGAGGTTACCTCCATTCGTGTGCGCAATGTAAAATACAAAAGATAAAAATATAAAAATATAAAAAAACACTACTCCATACTTGTAGCGGTATTCCCCTTGTCTTTTCCTTGTACGCCGTCTGCCTACGCATTACCGACGTAGTACTACTAGATAGCTACTAGTTCGTTAGCAGCAAGATAAAATTACCTTCTCATCAAGTCCGCCATGCGAGCTTGTTTCGATCGCCCACCAACAGCGCCAAGAAATGCTAGATGGCCTCCTTCAGTTTCGGAATCCGGTCGTCCCCCAAAGCAGTGTTTCTCTCTCGGCGGTGATTCCCTCTCCTCTTGCTGTGACAAGGTTCTTGACAGTTACCTGAATGCTGGTAACTCCGTAGTTACCAACCAACCAACTACTACTTACTAGTTCAATTCTTCCCAAGCTGTCATTTGGCGCGAAGATGACGTTGGTCAATCCCGCCAATCAGATAGTCCGTATTTCAAGTGCAACCTATTGAGAAAAATATAGATCACATACTACTAGTCCTTCCACTACTTCACGTCTAGACGCGAACTATTCACTCCGACAGTCTATCCAACCTTTGTTGATCCTAGTCAATGGCAGGTTATTGTTTCATTCAATCAATAAACTAATGTCATCCAAACTTGAAAATAACGTGACCTAGTAGTGGTATTGAATTTTGGTTTCATGGCGGCATGTAGATCCTGAGGCCGAAATATATATTCACTGTGTTCGCTACTATATATCCCCGCATATGTTGCCAGCGGTTTCACCATGACCTTGGAAACACCACCAGAACTTACAGACACCCTTTCCCTCACATTTCAATCAACAGATTTGCAAAAAAGTACCAAATGAAGCCGCTGTTGGAGCTACACTACTACCAGTAGCTATCATTTGCAAAGCATCGGAAGCTGGGGTGGACTCTGCTGCTCCCAAACCACCGATACCTGTCATGTCCTACAGGGCTTACTCGACCGATCAGATATCCGACCCTGCATCATATCGCAGCAAGGACCCCAAAATTGATCAATGAAACTGTCCATTTCTATACATCGAAGGACTCCACAGGGGTAAATAGGAAAAACAGCATAGCTTTAGTGACAATGGAAAAAATCAATACGTATTCGCACCAGATATGCGCATATCATCCCTCAAGCCTTGGCCAAAAATGCCGCTGCTTCCTCCTCTTTCCCTAGCAGTCCCAGACTGCGAATCTGTTCCGCCTTGGGCGCGTTTTCACGGGGGGTGGCGGCCTCAGCCTTGCGGTAGGCGGCCTGCATCTTCATCGTGCGGAGAGCCTATGCGTCGAAGGGGGCATTGTTAGCAAGCCGATCCGAAAAATTTAAGCACGAACATGATCGCATAAGGATAGACAGATAGGCGTACCTCCTTCTTGTGGTGCAGGCACTCGTAGTAATCCTCCAGAGCGGGCACGCACTTCTTCTTGCCAGCTTCACCCTCTCCACCATTGACGACGTAGCAACCGAGAACCTCCTGCCAGAAGTTGTAGCAGCGGGAAGGACCTGCACAGAGCGATTGAGATTAGCCGGGAATGTCCGCGGGAGAGTGACACGGCGGACGCCCAGTGTAGGCCACCCCGGGAATTCTGGCCGTCAATGAACCTTAACGGCAAAGAATAGATAGACGTACCGCCGTTGTTACCGAAGCCGGAAGCCATTGTGAGTGAGTGTGGTGGGTAAGGACGGGGGGAGCGAGACGAGGGGATTAGGATAGCGAGGGAGCGGAGGTGAGGATCGCGATTGAGGTTCTTCTTCCCTCGCCGATGATTCGCCTGTTCCGCCTTCCGCCCCGGCCCTGGCCCGTGCACCTGACGTCTTTGTGTCTCCCGAACACATCACCCTCTTCCATCATGCTCTCTCTGCTGCTCCCCGTTCAGACGTCATGGCGGTCCTTCAAGGGCTCTCAGGTGCTCATGCGATTCTTCTAGCGACTCATCTCTGTGCCACCGGCAATGTGGTTGCTCTCCCGCACTTGCAGGCAAAGTTCCCTGCCCATCTCCCGCTCGAGCGTGTCTTGCGCATCATCTTGACCTTTCTGCCCGAGAGCACAGAGCCGAGCTCTTACACACCAGTGCTGCAGGCGCTGGTAGATGGCCAACTACCTGAAGCCGGTGGTGCTGGCATCGATACCACCTCTGTTAAAGACCTGCCCGCGGCGATCGTGAGGAAACGTGTACGGAAGATTCGTTTACTACCATTACAGTATCCAGGCGACGAGGACAGCCAGGACCCCTCTGACCTCCTAACCAAATTCCTCATTCACCGGGCCCATCGCATCGACTTAGAAACCGCTCTTCAACCTCTCGTCCTCGATCTTCTCCTCCCCTTCTACCAACGCTCAGAAGTATTACGCACATGGTTGATCTCCAGTCTCTTACCGCTACTCCGATTGAACTACGAGTATTACCCCAGCCAAGACGAAACTTTTTCCCTGGATATCCTGGAGTCGATGGACAACAGTATTGCGGTCAACGTTCTTCTTTCGATGACTGGTGCGACAAAGAGCAGCATGGACTTGGTACGAAATCTACGCGGCCTTGTGGGTGCTTGGATGTATGGTAGCAACCGTTCCAAAAGACGGAGACTCAATGAAGCGATGCAAGAGACGTCGATTGTTCTGCCTCAGGATGAAGCGCAACCAAAAACCCCTTCAGGTGTCGGGTGGCAGCAAGTCAATGAGTGGCTGCTGGCACGAAGCCTCGTTGATCATGAGAGTGCGGTAAACGCCTTCGTCAATTGGGACGGGCCTGAGGATGTCGATCTAGGTGGATATGCTGAAGACAAGGAAGGTTTGTCGGATGATGAGCTGCAAGACTTGCGCAGGAGGTATGGACAGACTGGGCTTGCTGTCGTATATGCGAACTCTGATCCTAGCCCTCCGGCGCTGGACGGTTCCGTTCGAATTCTCGCGCGCATTGCGGAGTTCCTAAAGCTCGAAGAACACTCGTTCCTTTCGCCGGACAACTCAGAATTCCCCGACGTGAAATTCGATCCAGTGCCGATTTCGTCGGCATCAAGGGTATCCCTGCTGCAGAATGCCCTGCTGGTGGCCTCAAACCCTCTTACGCGCCCTTCTGCCTCGTCAATATCCTTCCTTAGTGGTATCTGCCTCTCTCTTCGGATACTGAACGATTTAGGCCACCCGACTCCATGCAGGACAGCGGCAAACATCTGTCTCCTCAATAATCAGGAAACACAGCTGTTCGAATTGCGCAGTGTAATAGCCTCTGTCGTAAGACAAGCAAGATCGGGTCATGACTGGAGCAAGACTCGCCAACAATTGCTATGGCTGCGTGACTGGCAAGCTGATCACACGGAAAACACCAGCGATCGTCCCGACTACCATGGTCTCTTTTGGAGAGTTCCGCAGGACGTCGTCGAAACAGAAATATTGAAAGCGTTGCTTGAAGCCAAAGGTGAGCTCGGAGATCACCTCTGTTATTCGGCCTTTACTGACAACAATAGAATACCATCTTGCTGTGAGCATCTACATTGTCTCTGGGTCAACTTTGAGCTCTACACAGGTTGAAGAAGCCGTCAAGGAGGCCATCTTCACAGCCTACGACAACGCGAGCAACGGAAATAGGACCAGGGGCGGGATGAAGCGAGCATACGACATGTAAGCCAAGAGCATAAACGCCCATCGCCTGGAATTGATACTGACATCCTGCAGTCTACAAGCTTTTCAACCTCACTTCTCAGATTCTGCCTCCTTCAAGCAGATCCAAGCCCTCATATCCGCCACGCACGCCCTGTCTTTCTACTCCCTTACTTTGCAGCACGGCGTCCCTTTCCAGCCAGTCAGCATCCGCGTCCACCCCGACCCTCTCTCCCTGATCGAGAAAGTTCTCGACCAGAACCCTAAGAGCTACACCAAACTGGACGACTTATTAGCCATTGGCCGGAACCTTGTTTTAGCAGGTG